GCCCCAAATCACAAGGAACTTACCAACTGGGGAACAAAGACACGTGAGGTATGAAAACCTGAGTAGAAAGTGCCTTGAAACCTGCCCACTTCAGCACCTAGAGCCTGCTCGCCACGGCTGCTGCCTCACTCCTCACCTGCATGTGGATCTAGGTGCTTCCTTTTGTCCAGAATACTGGGTCCTTCCACATGCCCCAGGACCCAGTTCAGGGGGCACTTTCTCCCAGGAAGCCTTTCTCAAGACCCTGTGCCTGATTCCGCGCAGCCCCTCTCTCAGGAGCCAGCACAGACATTCCCCACTGTGACCGTCTCACACCTCCGCAGTGTCCCTCCCTCAGCTCAGCCTCACCCCCCCAGGTCCTCACACTCAGAGCCCCCAGTGCCCCTGGCCCCGGGCCTCACACCCTTCTTCCAAGAGGGTCCCTCCCAGCTCCAGGCAGAGAAAAACAAGGTCCTTCCCTTCTCTCCTCTGCCCACTGTGGCCCAGCTCTGCACTCATGGCTCCACCAAAACCCCTCTCAACAAGGTACCAGCCACTGCCATCTGCCTAAATGCTAGGGGTCTTTCCCAGTTTCATCCTCTCCTGGTCATTCCCTGCCCTGTGGTTCCCAGGACACAGCCTCCCCTGTTCTTTCCCTTCTCCTCTCTCCACCCTTACACACGCGTGCTCTCCAAAGCCTCAAATGCCCCCAGCCACCCTCCCTTCAAACGCTATAGCCTTCTCCCTGTGCCATGTCATCCACAATTGCCAAGACAAATACCATCTCTAAGCTGAAAATTCTCTTAATGCTTGCCTCCCAAGTCCATCCTACCCTGAGATCTGGACCCATCTATGCAGAAGACCCCCAACATCTCCCTCAACTTCCAGCCTGGCTCCTGTCAAGCTTCCACCCACTGCAGGTCTCATTAGATGGCCAGCATGGTCACTGCGGAGGATGGCCTGCCAGAGGCCAGAGGCCACTCAGGGTGTGCTGACTCCCGGCCTGTTATTCTTCCATTGCTGCATCCCCAGTGTATGGCACACCCACAACTGAGGACCCCTGAATCCATGCCAATGGGAGGCTTCAACCCTGGGTAAGGAGGCCCAAGCTCAGAAGGAACACAGCTGTGGAGAGGTCTGAAGCCCAGAGGTCAGCCTAGAGCCAGAGATCACAGACGATGGGTCAGGCTCAATGCTTCCACTCCCAGCTGTCCCATAAGTGACCCTGGCCAAAGCCACAGGACTTCCCCCATGTTCCAGCCAAGATGGGTCACACAGAGCTTAACCACCAAGATAGACCACAGCCAAGTTTCACAGAGAGCTGGTGATTACGTGTCCCCATCACACCCACCCTCCTTCCTTGCCAAAAAAGAAGAGTTCATAAACATCTGTAGAAAAGGAAATGTCACTTCATCCCATTGTCTCTTGGGAAGTCCTTCTTATTGTCTAACTTTGATCCTTTACATTGCCAGTTGAGTTGGTAGGAATAGGAAGAAACAGAAGGGATGCTTGACTTGAGAATGGGACTGCCAGGGAGGTAGGGGAGGCCACCTGTGAGCCAGACAATCCCCTCCTTCTGGGTAAAAGCACAAAGCAGCACGGCTTTAGGCCTGGGTTCAAAAGCTCATTGAATGAATGGCGGTGGACAAATTATTTAATCTCTCCTAGTCTGTTTCCTGGTATAGAAAATGGGAACAGTCCTTAGACTAATAAAATCAGAGGGAGGACCATGAGATCATGCAAGTAAATCTGGCACATGTCAGGCACCGGACCAGTATGGCTAATAGATTCTACCTCCTTGTTCATCTTTCTCAGTTCCGGTCTCCCCGCAGCCTTAATTTAAATCTCGCTTTCTCCCAGGCTCCTCCTCAGCCTCCCCACTGGGCTCCCTGCATCCAGGTCTGCCCGTTCAGTTCAGTTGCTTAGTTCAGTTGCTTAGTCGTGTCTGACTCTTTGCAACCCCATGGACTACATACAGCACAACAGGCTTCCCTGTCCATCACCAACTCCCGGAGCTTGCTCAAATTCATATCCATCGAGTCGGTGATGCCATCCAACCATCTTGTCCTCTGTCATCCCCTTCTCCTGCCTTCAATCTTTCCGAGAATCAAGGTCTTTTTCAGTGAGTCAGTTCTTCACATCAGGTTGTCAAAGGCACCTTGCCACTGACAAAGGCATTCTTCTGAAACACAAATCTGCTCCCATCCTGCCCTCCCCACACTCCTCTCTGAGTCACCGGGGACTTCAGGAGAAAACCTCTCCTTAGCTGGACATCCCAGGCTGTTGATAAGCAGCCTGTGTTCACTCTCACCCGTCACCCCAGCCCAACCCGCAGGTGGCACGTGCTGCCTCTGTCTCCAAACCTTGTCACATTCCTCACCCCATGTCAGGAATGATGTCCCCAGCCCCACCTTCTTGCTCCCATACCATCTCCTTCTCAGGAAAGCATCCCTCACCATGCCTCCTGCCCAAACTGTGCTGGGGACTCCTCCTTTGGCCTCCCACAGCACATGTCACCCTGCAAGATAATCACTCGCTCTGCTCTCAGTCTTTTGGAAACCAAGTAGAGCCATTCCTCTCTGAACCACCAGCCCCAGCACTCAGTCAGTGTTTGCAGAATGGCTGTCTGATCGCTACGTGAGCGCTTGTTAGAAGAGCCATCACACTACCTGTAATTTATCCTATACAGATATTCTTTCCTCCTCTCTTTACCCCCTGACCCTGGGACTTCCTCAGGCCCAGTGACTGTTTCTGATTCATTCTCATTGTGACTTTCATGTGGGGGTGGCAAATCCAGGCGCAGGATGGATGCATGACTCCTGATCCTTAGAGTATCAGACATTTGCCGTCTCCTCGTCTAAGTCGGAGATAAAGTGGAATCCCAAGCTTTACAGAAAAAGGCAAGGCACAGCCTATTATTGATTGTCTTTCGCTTCCAGATTACTCAGGAAATGTGTCTGGAAGGGAGAGGGAGGCCTCCTGGGACTACAGGGGAGCCCGGGAGAGAGAACAGGGCCACCATCCTATGGACTACAGCCAGGCCTAGGCGCCAGGCTTCCAGCAGCACTTCCTTCCCTGCCAGGTGTATTCAGAAAACACAGGGAGGGCCCTGAAAATGTTAGGTATGGATAGCTACGATTTACAGGTGGGAAAGCTAAGGTCCTCAAGCTCCCAGTAACTTAGAGATACAGCAGGGAAGTCATGGAAAATACCTAGCTCCAGAGCTAGGGTCTCCAACAGGTGTCCATCCTGCTGACAACCTATGCCAGCAGGAGAGCAACGACACTTCCCCCAAGTCACAGTGAGGGTAACCAGGGCCCAGGAGGGGCTGTCACCCTGATGGCGAAGCAGCACAAGCGGGATGACGGGGAGGGGGACGGGCTTCTGGCTCCCTGCAGGGAGAGAAGTCCCACCTCCATGATCAGGAAGATCCTGTCACTGGGGTACCTGGACGTGGTGGAAGAGACTCATACATGCTCCTCTGAGGACAGAGACCTGGGTCCCGGGTCAGCCGACTGCAACGGGGGCTAGCCATCAAGGTGAATGCAGATGCCTCACCATCTACTGCAGCCTTCACCACCAGCTGGGCCTCCACCCACAGAGCCAGCCATCCCACCCGAACCTCAAACCAGGGTCCACGAGGGGCTTGACAGTGCCCAATAGCGAGCTCCAGAGAAACAGATCAAGTAGACTCCAGCCTCTGGCCCCTCTTGACCTTAAGCAAGTCAGGGTAACCTCTCTAAGCTCTGGTTCCTCCTTGGGAAAACAGGAAGCGCAAAGTTAACCTCCTCGCAGAGTCAGCAGGAGGCAGTTTTTAAACCTTCAGAGCACAAGTTATCTCTGAGCCTCGGTTTCTCCTTCTGGAAAATGGAGCTAATCTCTGCATGACTTTTCTCAGGTTGTTGAGAGTGAATGTCAGACCGCAGAGAGTGTTACACGCTTTGTCAGTGGTCCCGAAACATGATGGCCATGGGGGCCCCTTCTCTCTAGTCTATGAGCTCCCTGGGGAAGGAATGGGTCTTGCACACCTTTGTGCCCCAATCTATGCCTCGTACACGCCAGGTGCTCTGTAAATAGTTATTGGAAGTAAGAAGAGAGTAAGGCAGGGCATAGAGAATGAGACAGGGGAGAAGTGCGGTAAAAAGACAGAAAAGGATAAAGGAAGAAAAGGATGAATAAGAGGGTTCATGCCGAAGGGGTAACAGGAGATATGGGAGAAACTTCTATCTGAACTGAAGGGAGCTGTGGAGTGAAAGGGCCGATCCAGGGTGACAAAGATGCCTGCCTGACAGGGGCTTGTCCTGGGCCCCAGCCCCCCTCCCTTTTCTATCCCAGTTTCCCATTTCAGAGGCAGACCTCTCCCTTTCTGCTTCAGGGCAGGCTCCTAGGGAGACCTGAGCCCCCTCTCCCCACCCTCTGCTGGAGGAGATCTGCAGCCCTTGGGGAGGTCAGTGGGAAAGGAAGCCCTGGATAGGAAGCATTTTTCCCAGGCTCCAAGGTGCCTCCCACCCCGTGTGGTGTGTGCATTTCCACTTCTCCACTTGTGGGGACTGGAGTGAGTGTGTCAGAGGCCCAATGAGCTGTTGGCATGCGACCCGGGGTGTCTGTCTGGGCGTTAGTCTGATGTGTGTCTGCGGGGGTCAGCACTGGTGTGGTCTTTTCTGCCAACGTTAAGTGTTCCTGTTGGTAAGGGAGACAGCATGGGTGTCTCAGTGAGAGTGTTTGTTACCATAAATGTTAAGTGTATGTATCAGGGTAGGTCAACATGTGTGCACCAGCATGAAGGTGTGCTAGCGCTTGTATGTGTTGGAGTGTGACCTGTGTGTCAGGGTAACCTCTCTAAGCTCACACACACACACAAGAACGTGTCAGCAAGAACATATTGATGAGTGTGTACCACTGAGTGTGTGACAGTGTCACTGGAGGTGCCGACATGTGGCAGTGAATGTCAGTGTGTGCCAAAACAGAGCGCCCATGGATGAGTGTGCCTGTGTGTCCACATGAGCGTGTGCCATTGTGTGTCAGCCTGCCCCCTGCGTCCCCGAGCCGGCGAACCAGTGCTGGGTGTCAGTGGATGAGTGCGAGTGCGTGTGCGTGTGTCTCCGCGGCCAGGTCCCCGCGCCCCCAGCCCTGCCGGCGACCACACAGGAGATCTCGGGTGGAGCAGAGCCGAGAGCCGCGGAGCCGGAGGTGGCGGGGTGGCTGCGCACGCACAGCCGGGACACGGACTAGGACCCCCGCCCGCGCCCTCGCCCGGCTCGCCCCCACGCGCGCCGGACCGGCCGCCGCCCGCACTCACCGCGTCCCTTTGTCGCCCATGGTCCGAGGCGGCCGCGGGGAGGTCCGCGGCGTCAGCGCCCAGGCTGGAAAATCCCCGGCCGACAGGAGGGGCGCGGGCCAGCCGGTTCCCGGCTCCTGCTCCGCCTCCTCCGCGCTCCGGGCCGCCGCCCCCGCCCGGTCCCGCCGCGCCGCACAGCGCCTGCCGCGGCCGAGCCGGGGAGCCGGGGAGCCGGGGAGCCCAGCAGCCGAGCGGGGAGGGCCCGAGGGGCCGGTGTGCGCGTGTGTGCGCGCCGCCCAGCCAGCCGCTGGGCAGGGCCCAGGCGCGTCAGGGCCCGGAGGTCGGCATTCAAGGTCCACACGGGTGCTGCCCCGCGTGTGTGTGTGTGTGTGAGTGTGTGTACGTGAGGGCGCACGCTGGATGGGTATACGTGCGCGTGTGTGAACGCGAGGGTGCGGGTGCGTGTGCACCGCTGTGTGCGCTGCCGAATGGGGTGCGTTTGCCTGGCTGGAGTGGGGTGCTCGTCTTTGTGCAGTGTGCGTGTGTGCAGGCGCGCTCCCCTGCGCACGCCGGGGGGCTGGTGGGGGGCAGCCTTTGCGTGTGCGGGGGCGTGGACGCCGAAGGTGCGCCTGCAACCCCAGGGCGGAGCTCCAGGCGGCTCCCCGGGTCGGGTGGGGGGTCGGTAGGAAACAGGGTGTCTGCGATGGCCTTCGCCCTCCGCCCCACCCTACCCGCACCCCACCTCCCCGCCCTTCTGGAGAGAGAACACCCTACCACACCACAGGGACAGGAAGAAGGGGCGGAGGGGGCTGGAGCAGGCAGTGTCAGCGCTGGGGAACTGATGAGGGTGGGAGGGGGACACGAGGTGAGCCAGGGCAGCTGTGGTGACTGCCCCGGAAGAGGAAGCATGGTGAAAAGAGGAGATAAGGAAGGGGGCCTACAGCTGGCCGGCTGTGGCCTGGGAGTCTGACCTGGCTGAGTTGCATAAGGGAAGAGTCCCTGTCTAGCTTCATGGTCATTTGTGGGTGACCCTGGACCCCAGCCCTCTCAGAGCCAGTCTACAAACATGTGAAGTGGGATATTAACACCAGCTTACAGAATCGTCCCTAGATGTTCCCTGGCCTACCCTGAGTGCCTGACTCACAGTAGGTGGCCAGTGAATGTTAGCATGTCCTTTTGCAGGCTTCTCTGGTGTCCTACAAAATCCTGCCTGGGACCTTGCTTTGTCTGCGATCCATTCCCCCTTTGCAGGTGGTGGGAGCGTGTGAGGTCTTTCCCACCCCCTCACTGCTGGGATTTGGCTAATTGGCCTTGTTAGAGCCCTAATATTGGTATATTAATGGGAGGAAAGGAAGCTATCATTTACTCTGATGTGATTGTGGGTCTGTAAACATCTCCTGTAATTATGCTCAGAAGCAGTTACCTATGCTGCTTATACATAATTGGGAAAGGATATCCCAGTATAATCACTGTAATTGTGTTCAGATGGGCAGATGGTGGCAGAGGGGCCCTGTTGATGGGCAAACAGAGTGGTCCAGGGTCTGGGCAATGTTAGGAATGGAGAGAGTTGGATTAAGGCCCACAACCTTCCTCCTGACCTTGGCCTCTGGGCTTTGCCCTCACTCCCACAGAGGAAGGAGAGGAAGCCACCTGCTGTTTCTGCTGAGGTTGGGGACTTGAGAGAAGCACGTCAGAGTCCAGCATGATGACAGGAGGCTTACCCAGTGAGCCAGAGAGGACTTTAACCACTTTGGAGGGGCCAGGTCCGCCCATTCTCTGCATCCATTGCCCCACCTAGAAAACATGGGTTCAGCCCTACCAAATGATTTCCAGGGCCTCTCCTCATGATGATGCCTAAGGCACCTAGATTTTAAAATTCAGCCAAATTATGCATTTGACTCAATAAGTCTTTGTGTTTAGTTAACTATAAAACATAATGTTATATGGGGCTTCTCTGGTGGTCCAATGTTTAAGAATCCACCTCGCAATGCAGGGGACAGCGATTCGATGCCTGGTCTGGGATGACCTCACTTGCCACAGGGTAACTAAGCCCTTGCACCACAGCTACTGAAGGCTGTGTGCCTAGAGCCCACGCTCCACAACAAGAGAAGCCATTGCAATGGGAAGCCCGTGCACCACAACTAGAGAGTAGCCTCTACTCTCTGCAACTAGAGAAAGCCCATGCCCAGCAATAAAGACTAAGCGCAGCCAAAAATAAATAAATAAATATATATATTTAAAAAGATAATGTTCTAGATTACTTGCAAGTAAAACAGTTCAGAAAGATGTATCAGATGGTTTCAGATAACTCCTGCTCCCACATAGCTCTTCCCAGCTCAGTATGGAAAACATGGCTCTAACGTTCGAGGGACACTGAACATTGCAGGGTTTCAAGTATATCCCTCTCTCCACTGACCTATAAACATCCTGAGGGGGTGTATGTGTACCTGGCACTACTTGATGCTCACAATTCTATGAGATCGACATTCTTTTCCTTTTTTTAAACAATGATATGAGCAGACTGATACTTGGAAAAACTAAGTAGTTTGCCCAAATCCATTGCCTCCTCTGAACCTTGGCCTCTGGTTCCTGCTCCCCACTGTGTGAGTGCATCTTAAGTCACTTCAGTTGTGTCTGACTCTTTGCGACCTTGTGGATTGTAGCCGCCAGGCTCCTCTGTCCATGGGATTCTCCAGCAAGAATACTGGAGTGGGTTGCCATTTCCTTCTCCACCTCCTCTCCTAGCCCTCCCTAAAGTGAAACTACTACTGATAGAGTCAGAATCAGGCCCTTGATTCACTCTTGATTCAGTAACTATTTATTGAATGTGCCATGCATGGTTCTAGGAACCTACAAATCATGGTCAGTAAGACAAATGAAGCTGTCATTTCGTGAGGGTTCCTACTGAGAGAAGAGTTTACTTGTCAGCACCTTTGGATAATATAGTTATTCCTAGTAGAATTAAAATTAATAAAAATGTAGAAGTAGTGATGTGGAGACCTCCATAAATATAAAAAGTCTAATTTCAGGCAGTGATAGGTGTTCTAAAGGAAATAAAAGTGATAAGACCAAGAGTGATGGAGGCAACTGTCTTAAGAAAAATATTCTTCAAGGAGAGGACCTCTGGAAGGAGACCTGTAGATGAGGACTCAGCGAAGTGTGTTGTTTGGGGAAAGCCAGGAGAAGAGCTACCCAGGCAGAGGGAGCAGCAAGTACAGAAGTTGGGTTTCTGTGAACAGGGAAGAGTGGTGGGGATCATGCAGGGCTTGTCACTGGGGCTGAGGAGTTTGTGGAGCCAGTGGAGGACTTAGGAGATGAATAACTGTGCCTGATTATTTACATTCTTAAAGGTCACTGGCTGTTGGATGGAGATGTTTTGGAGCAAGACAGGAGAAGAGGCATGGCATCCCATTATTGGAGCAGGTCAGAGAGAACTGCTGGTTGGAATAAGGTGATGCAGCAGAAATGAAGAGAAGTAAAGGGGTTCATCTATATTTGGAGGTACAGTCAACAGCACCTGCTGAGGGATGGACTCTGGACAGCGAATGGTCCAGGATTGTACTGAAATTTGAGGCGGGTCTGCTTGTTCCACCCTCCATGCAGCCCACCTCCCCACACATTTCTTCAAGGGCACTGATGCTTGAGAAGACTGGAGGCCCCCTTCCTTCCTCTTTCAGTTTGTTTGTAATATATTCTCTGCTTGAAAACCAGAGTGATTTTTCTAAAGGGTAGATAGATTCTGTAACTGAGGTGATCATCCCTAGTTATGTCCCAACTTGGGCCAGTCACATCCCTGAAATTTATTACTCACAATTTTTTTTTTTTTATCAAGGAGAGAGGGAGGGAGAGATGGAAGGAGGAAGAAAAAGGAAGGGAAGAGAAGAGAGAAAAGTATTATTCCTGGTTTATAGATGAGAAAACAAATGCTCTGGGAGGGAAAGTGTCTAAGCCGAGGACATAACAAATAAAAGAGCTGCAGCTCACACCTAAAGCCTCTGCGTAGCTGGTCAGGTAGATGAAGGTCAGACTGAAGTGTGAGTGGGTGGGTGGGTTGATGAGTTTTCAGCTCCCTCCCCAACAAAGGTACACACCTTTGAGATCTTAAAGGTGAATAAACTTTTCACCTAAGGAGCTTCCCTACCTCTGCCCCGAGCAGAAATCTGGATGTCATCTTTGACTCCTCTGTTTCCCCCACTCTATCCATGTCAAGCTAGTCTTCTACTTCTACCTCCTAAGTGTCTCCCAGTAAGCTGGAGATGTAGGCAGGAGCGAGACCATGCCGATCCTGAAGGGTTGTGTTAAGGAATTTGGTCTTTATCCAAAGATCAATAAAGAAGCTTTGAAGGATTTTAAACAGAGCAGTGACATGCTCAGGCATGTGTTTTGAGGAGATGGCTCTGGGTGCTGTATGAAATGTGGATTGGACATGGGCCAGGGGGATGTGGAGGAGGAGATCAATTAGGAGGCAGTGTCAGCCATTTAGGGAGGGATGATAACTGCATTCCAGGGAGAGGACACTCAACAGCTGCAAAGCCAGGAGGGAGGAAGGAAAGGGCATGACACTTTGGAAGGATTCAGATGGATCTGTGGCCAAAACACGGAGAAGGGAGAGGAGGAGCTGCAAAGGAGGATGGGGGCCATGTCCTGAGGAAGCAGGCTTACAGATGGGTCAGCTCTCCAGTAAAACAGCAGGGGCTGTGTTACATTTGTCTAACAAGAACTGCAGATTGTCCAGCAAGATGGCTTTGTGGTGAGATTATGATGGAGGACAATTCAAAGTTCCTTTTTTTTAAATTTAAAAATACTTTATTTTTGGCTGCTCTGGGCACAGCTCATTGCTGTGCTCGGGCTTTCTCTAGTTGCAGCAAGTGGGGGCTGCTCTCTAGTTGTGGTGCTAGGGCTTCTCAGTTCAGTAGCTTCTCTTGTTGCAGAGTATGGGTTGTAGGGCGCTGGCTCAGTAGTTGGGATGCACGAGCACAGTTGCCCTCTTGGCATGTGGAGTCTTCCAGAACAGAGATAGGACCTGTGTCTCCTTCACTGG